CGGCTTTTTTTCTTTTTGCTTATGTGGTGCTGAGGAATCGAACCCAGGGCCTCAGGCATGCAAGGCAAGCGCTCTACCACTGAGCCAACTTCCCAGCCCCTCAACTGATTTTTTTAAGATAGGATCTTGCTTTTTGCCCAGACCTGCAAGTGGACCACTGTCCTCCTATTTTAGGCTTTTCACAGCTTCTTCCCTTGAAATGGAGTCTCATAAACTCCTGGCCTGGAACTTTGTAATCTTCCTGATCTTGTTTCCTGAGAAACTACAGTTATATATGTGAGCCATGGTGCCTGGATTAAAAAGCAGGAATTTTTAAGTATTATGAAAGAGTGATTATACTAACTATAATTATTAGCTAATTATTACTATGCTAACTAGGTAATTCAGTTATAATTGAAAAGCTTTATATATATATGATGAAATAGTTCTAGCAGGTAGATATGTCTACGGTTCTGATGTCTTATTACTCATTGGCAAGAATAGTTTAGGCAGATATGGTAACATCTATACTAGTTTCTCAAAATGCCTGGTCTTTGATTCCTGTGAGCTGACTAGAACCAGTTGTGATGAAACAGTATATTCAATGATAACATTTCTTATACCAGCGGTATAAGGTGGAATTTTTTTCTTTTCTTTTTTCTCTTTTCCTTTCAGGTTCTAGGGATCAAACCTAGGGCTTTATGAATGATAGGGAAGTGTTTTACTACTGAGCAACATCCTAAGCCTGAAAATTATCTTTTCTTTCTTTGTTTTTGGCCAGCTCTGGGCCTTGACCTCAGGGCCGACTGTCCCTGAGCCTCTTCTGCTCAAGGCTAGTACTCTACCACTTGAGCCACAGTGTCATTTCTGGCTTTTTCTGCTTATGAGGAATTGAACCCAGGGCTTCATGCATGCGAGGCAAGTACTCTACCATTAAGCCACATTCCCAGCCTGAAATTTTTCTTTTACACTGATTTCTGGAGGGAATTTTCATCTATACTAAATATGGCAATTAACAAGGGCTTAGAGATAGCAAGGGGTACAAGGTGGGAGCACCTTTCACTCTTAATGCAGCTTCTCACACTGGGCTGCTCCATCCAGTTCAAATGATTGTTCTCTCAATCTACCCCTTTGTCCTCATAAGGAAATTAGACCCCATGATTAGCTAGCTCTTGGTCAAAGTGAAAACCAAACCAAAAAAAAAAAAAAATACTTGTAGACATAGTTCCTATCAGTGTGTGGTTCTTAGGTAATTTTAGTATAGTTGGCTTTAAATTTTTTGTAACCTTAGTTATCTGGATTGTAATAGGAGATGTAAGATAAAGTGATGGAAAGCAGGTCATGTAAAGAAGTGTTGTATTCCATATGTTGGTGGCTCATGCCTCTAATCCTAGCTACTCAGGAGGCTGAGATCTGAGAATCCAGCACAGGCAGGAAAGTCCATGAGACTCTTAACTCCAATTAACCACCTGAAAACTGGAAGTCAGGCTGTGGCTGGAAGTGGTAGAGTGCTAGCCTTGAGCAAAAAAGCTCAGGGACAGTGTCTCAAAACTGACCCCAAAACATTAAAAAATTAAAAAGATGATAAAGCACCAGGTAGCACTTCTCAAATCCCACCATCAGATCAGGCACCATGGTGGAGCTGTCCTACCAAGGCAGCTTGGTTGACTCAGACCTTTCTCTCTGCAGCAGAACCAAAACCAGAAGTCTACCCCGATTCTTTCTGCCCTCCCGATTTCCCCAAGTGTAAGTTCCCCTTGCAACATGTGCTACGTAATCATCCCCCCTGGATCTTCACATGCCTGTGTACAGAAAGTCAAGTGGAGCCAGGAGATCCACGCTCAAGGGACCCGGAGAAGCAGCAGCAATCCTCTGATAGAATCTCCTGGAGAGATAAAGGTTTATCTCCTGGAGAGATAAAGCCAGAGAAAGGAGGCACCAAACCTTCATTTGGCCCAACAGAGAAAAGCACTTTGGGAGCCTTCTCCAGACTGCCCCAGAGACAGGCAGTCAGCTCTCGGAATGGCATCCGAGTGGTGGAGAAGGAAGCCAGCCCAGCTCACACACAGAACCCCGAGGAAACAGACAGACTGCTGAAGAGGATAGAAGTCTTAGGATTTGGAACAGTCAACTGTGGAGAGTGCAGCCTGGGCTTCAGCAAGATGGCAAACCTGCTGAGCCATCAGAGGATCCACTCCGGAGAGAAGCCTTATGTGTGTGGGGTGTGTGAGAAAGGCTTCAGTCTGAAGAAAAGCCTGGCCAGACACCAGAAAGCACACACCGAGGAGAAGCCCATCGTGTGCAGGGAGTGTGGGCGAGGTTTTAACCGCAAGTCAACCCTCATTATTCACCAGAGGACACACTCGGGGGAGAAGCCTTACTCGTGCAGTGAGTGCGGGCGAGGCTTCAGTCAGAAGTCCAACCTCATCATACACCAGAGGACACACTCTGGGGAGAAGCCGTATGTGTGCCGGGAGTGTGGGAAATGCTTTAGCCAGAAGTCAGCTGTGGTTAGACACCAAAGGACACACTTAGAGGAGAAGACCATTGTGTGCAGTGACTGCGGTCTCGGCTTCAGTGACAGGTCAAACCTAATCTCTCACCAGAGGACACACTCCGGAGAGAAGCCTTACGCCTGCAAGGAGTGTGGGCGGTGCTTCCGGCAGAGGACCACCCTTGTCAACCACCAGAGGACCCACTCAAAGGAGAAGCCTTACGTGTGTGGCATCTGTGGGCACAGCTTTAGCCAGAATTCAACCCTCATCTCTCACAGGAGGACCCACACCGGAGAGAAGCCATATGTGTGTGGGGTCTGCGGGAGAGGGTTTAGTCTCAAGTCACACCTCAACAGACACCAGAACATTCACTCAGGGGAGAAGCCAATTGTGTGCAAAGATTGTGGTCGTGGCTTCAGCCAACAATCAAATCTCATCAGACACCAGAGGACACACTCCGGGGAAAAGCCCATGGTGTGTGAGGTGTGCGGGCGAGGCTTCAGCCAGAAGTCAAACCTTATTGCACATCAGAGGACACACTCAGGGGAAAAGCCATATGTGTGCCGGGAGTGTGGGAAAGGCTTCAGCCACCAGGCAGGGCTGATCAGGCACAAGAGGAAACACTTACGGGAGAAGCCGTACGTGTGCACACAGTGTGGACTGGGCTTCAGCAACAAGTCAGCTTTAATCACACACAAGCGGGGATGCTCAGAAGAGAAGCCTTGCACATGCAGAGACAGTGGCCCAGGCTTTCTCCACAAGTCCCACCTCACCTTCCAGCAGAGGGCACACAACGGGGAGAAGCCCTACGTGTGCAAGGCCTGTGGGCAGAGCTTTCAGTGGAAGTCCCACTTGAGCAGACACAGGAAGATGAAGGGTATCCACCACAAGCCACTGCAGCCTGACTTGGAGGCCTACTTGGAGCAATCGTCTGACCCCTTGTATTCTCTTTAAAAAAAAAAAAAGATGAGAGGACTGTCAAAAGTTTTTACACTTCCATAAAATAGAAAAATACATTCCATAAGTGATGATATAAGATACTTAGTTTGATCCCTACTAAATCTTTTCCATGTTTCATGGCTTTTTGTTCTAATAAACTTTGCTTCTGTACAAATATGAGTTTGTTCTTTGGTTTGAGGCTAGAGTTTTTATTTTCTAGGATCTGTTTTTGTTCCTTGTATTATGTTCTTTGAAAATACTGAACTTAGCCAGGTGCTGGTAGCTCACACCTGTAATCCTAGCTACTCAGGAGGGTATCTGAAGATTGCGGTTTGAAGTCAGCCTGGGCAAGAAAGTCCATGAGACTTTTTTTTTGTTGTTGTTGGTGGTGGTCATGGGGCTTGACTCTAGATCTGGGCGCTGTCCCTCAGATCTCCAGTTCAAGGCTAGTGCTCTACCACTTAAGCCACAGTGCCACTTCTGGTTTTCTGGTGGTTAATTGGACAGAAGAGTCTCATGGCTTTTCCTGCCTTGGCTGTCTTTGAACCGTGATCCTCAGATCTCAGCCTTTTGAGTAGTTAAGATTACAGGCAGGAGCCATGAGCATCTGGCTCATGAGACTCTTATCTCCAGATGAACTACTAGAAAACAAAGTAGAGCTGTGGCTCAAAGTGGTAGAGCACTAGCCTTAAACAGAACAGTTCAAGGACTGTACTCAAGCACTGTTCAAGTCCCATGAACCTCTCCTCCCCAAAAAATATCT